GTGGTACTTTTGATCTGTGATGTGTTGATACTTTAGATGGAAGATCTGACGATAAGGAAGGGTGTTTGACACTTGGCGACTCTTAGAACGTTTTGTATCGGAAGGTACTTTTTAAGAGTCAGAATTCCAAGTGTCGGTATCAGGGATTGAACTAGAGTCGCGCGGAATGAGAGAGAGAAAGAGGATTGAATAACATTGTGAACACGGAAAACTAAATTGAAGTGCAGCCTACAAGACTCTTGAGAGCTTGATCGTGTGAAGCCAGCAGCAATCTAATTTAGACCTGCATCAAGCTGTAGCGGTGCTATCCGGATGTTTACCATATTAACATTTTTAAACATAATCTGATATGAAGCAGAATCTGAGGAAACTTCATGAGTGTTGCAGTAAATCAAATTTGTTTCTTATTTTAAGACTCTGTTTTAAAATCTCTTTGGGCCGATGTGAACCCCTTGAAAGTACACATTTGATCTCAGCAGGGACTACGGCATACACGAGTTATTCCTTCATAAAACTTAAAACTACAGTTATCCTCCATAAAAAATTTAAATAAAGTTATTCGTGGGTCTAACCTTTTAAGTGGGAGGAATATTTTCGTTTCAGGTTCCGCGCTGAAAGGTTTATTTGTGCATTAAAATCTTGGACTTTTCTCTCAAAGTAGTGATACTGATTTCTACAAAAATTGGCGCCGAACGGCAAATTTTCGAAATGAGCACTTCTACAACACGAGTTATGAAATTCGAGGATGGTCTCGTATTTGAAGGCGTGTACCTGGATTCGAACAGAGATCGTCCGGCTCATAGCCCATCACTTTACTGCCTTAGTTGTCGCGTCTCTATATCCGATCGGATCGTAAAGTAAATAGTGTCTGGAGTGGATTCATCTGGCTTAAGATGGGATACAGTGTCGAACTCTTTTGAACACGATAATGAACATTTCGGTTTCATAAAAGGCGGCAAATGTCTTTGACTAAGTGAGCAACTATTAGATTATTATTTTATTTTAGTGTTCTGTCGGACGACAGGTCCATATGAACAGGATCCTTCCATCCTTTTCTCGGACTGGGACCTGTTCATATACGTTCTTGGCAGATGATCCAGAAGTGGGTTGCCATTGCCTTCTTCTGTGTGTGAACGAAGTAATTGTTGGGATGCCACGGAGGAAAACTCCGGGGTGCCTAGACCACGGCCTTGCCCAACACAAGTTATAAATTCGAACCCGAGACCCCAGGATATTAGATTATGAAGAAAAATTATGTGTATTCATGGGGTTACACAATTGAAGTCCTTACTATTGAACCTTTATGTAGTTATGTAAACGGTGACTGGCTTTTTTGTAGGTATTTAAACTTAATATTCAGTGTGATTCGCAGTTCCCTTGCACAACCAATGGCACCGTATTAAGACACAGTGTTTAAACAGTGAACTTTAATGATTCATTTCGCTCTGAACAACAAGTTGTGGTACCCCGATGAAACCACGCGGAATTCTTCGAATTTTCTCTAAGAAGAAGCAATTTACTGAAGATGGAGATCAGGTACGAGTTCCACTTTCTACTGTGACAGGTTTTTTATTGTCAATCGGTCGATTAATCATCCGTCTGTAAGCTGAATTTTGTTTATGCCGATATATTTTAAAAATTAACTCATCAAGTACGTTAAAAACCTTTTTTGTATAAATATTGAGTAAATATTTTATTCCCAGTTTTACGTAAGACAAACAGCCGATCATGATCTGAAACCTTAGATTTATTTTCAGTCTTTGGTTTCCGTATTTTGGTTGATCCATCGCCTGATTAACTATTGATTGCCGTATTGTTAGGTAACACGGCTTTTGCTGCTTTAAAGTTGCTGAAAGCCGGTGATTTTAATAGAATCGTGCAGTACCACAGGGACCCCAGTGTTCCGTAGGACAAACTTATGCAACCACTCTTATAAACAAAGTAGAATATTCATTTTGTTGTTGTCTTCTGGGACCTTGGCGCCGTGTATTATGGTAGAAGTTCACAGACGTGTCATCAGGGCGATAAGTACTCAACGCCCTGATGTTAGCGGCAGCAAAGATATCAGAAACGTCGGTAAATTTCTGCGAGACTACACGGCGCAACATCCCAGAAGAAAGCCATCTTCTAAAATCAATTAATGTTTTAAGCTCTTGCTCGAAAGAACTTTATTGGGGTGATAACACGAGATTCCAGTGAAATTTATGCATTGCGAATGTTCACTCGCTGTAAAGTCTATGACAAACAAGTTACAGAAATATTGGCTGTTAAATTGACATAATAGTTTTAGTAACCGAATCGTTTCTGGTTGCCGGGCAATACACATTATAGTTTAATGATTACTTTTATCTTCACTGTACATGTCATCTTCACTGTACGTATAAATGTAAACAGTATAGGACAGCTGTTTAGTTTCGATATCAAACATACAGAATTGTCAGTAACTAAAATATTATATAGTGTAACACAAGGCTCCATTAGTACACAGATTCTGTCATACACACACTTGCTTTGTATGTATTAGATTCTGTGTAATACGACGCGTTGAGATGAACAATCGCTCCAACGTCGTGTGTTATAACAATTAAACACGCACCATCGGTGATTAGTGTTTGATCTCGTTTGTTTACGCCAAATGTTCGTGGTGTTTAATCGATTTTTTTTGTAGCAGGTAACTTTTTGCATTAGTTGTGTTACTCTTGAGCTAGTGTTCTTGTAGATAAATTTTAAACCAGATGAATGATTTTTGTGAACCTTCGCATGCGAATGTTATTACCCAAACACAACACTGATGTCGAAAAAAGACATGTACACGTTGTAATAAGATAAAGTACGAAGAAACTGAAAGAATTTTTCTCGAGAATTTTTCAGTAGAAATTATGCACAAAGTCGTAATGTGACGTAGGCAACATCTGTTTTGAGTCATGTAATGCGGCAGCAGCATGGAGACTGGTCTTAATTAGTATAAAACTCATTAGTAATTCCTAAAGAAATACGATGAAAGAAAAGTGTTTCCAGAAACAAAACACAGATACGCATGCGAGATGTATATTAATATTAGATGCATTAATGCCATTAAAGTGTCTTTTTTATTGATTTCATGTTTAGAAGCGAGTTAAAATATATTGAAGACGCCGACTGATTTGTCTGGCTTACACTTTAGAGGTCTGAAGATGAGTGACTGATACCAGTGTTGGAGGATATTTGATTGCTTTCAAATATACTCTTATCTTCTTTTTTTCTGTTCTTGAGATGTGATGCTTACGTAGTCACCATTCAGGCAAATACAGGCATACCTCGGAGATATTGCAGGTTCTGTTCCAGACCACCGCAATAAAGCGAGTCACGAGTTTTTTGGTTTACCAGTGCATATAAAAGTTATGTTTACACTACACTGTAGTCTATTGAGTGTGCAATAGCATTATGTCAAAAAAACAATGCGATAATTACCAAAATGTGACACAGAGACACGAAGTGAGCACATGCTGTTGGAAAAATGGCGCCGATAGACTTGCTCGTCGCAGGGTTGCCAGAAAACCTTCAATTTGTGAAAAAACGCAATATCTGCGAAGCGCAATAAAACGAGGTACGCCTGTATTAAAAACTAATATATTCTTACGTCTACAGTCGTCGACACGGAAATCGTTCTGTTTCTTTCATACGGTTGATAATATTAGCTGAAAAATGTTGGTATCGTAGATAGGTAACAAGTCGGAAGCGTCTTCAGTTTCAAATTTGTATTTTACTAAAATTAATTAACCCATTAAAGCCGAAGTTCATACAAATAATATATAAGATTTCAGTCTGTATCTGAATTAAACACAATACTTCACCGTTAAAAAGATCAACTTGTTAATGCTGTTTAAGGAAATAACCGCTTTGCGAATCGTATTAAACCCACAAGTACAAAATATATGGAGAGACAGGTTCTTAAAGCAGCTGGTACATATAGTTACCACTGTGTTTTAGAAATCTGGTTAGATTTAAGATCTGGTGCTTGAGTTGTTACAGATCTTTACCACCGAGTAGTGCCCGTTCCTTCTTACTGCTTCCAGCTAAACAGCATGGCAGAGCGAGAAAACAGAACAATGCATTTCTTTGTCACCTATTGTAAACTTTTTTCAGATTGTTCGGTCGATCACGGCCGATAGGTTAATGGCCGCACTAGAACTTAATCTCAGATGGCTATGCCAGAGCAACGTGTTCACCAGATGGGGAAAACTTCGCAGAAGCTTTCACCTACATTTACAGATTATTTATTCTGGCGTATGTAACTCGTGCGTGATTCATTAGAACTCCGTGTTGCTAAAATTCTGGGACTCTCGACATTCGCTTGCTCTGTACGGATGACTCTTATTATACGCGCTTTCGCTGTCCGCGTATTAGAATATCCGCTGTTATTTCAGTATTATTAGGATCATCAGTAGCCTATCCGCGGTCAAATTCTGTATCAATCCTTCTCCACGCTTACCACGAAATGTAATGTAGATGATAAACTTAGTATCAAGAATTCTAGCGCGATTTTAACCTCCGTGTATAACGAGAGTCACCTGTGGATACAAATCAGACAATCTAAATGCAATATGACATTCGAGGTTCTCACGGCGGTGAAGATGTCTCTGTTGATGTTGTGACGTTTTGTGGACTTTCAGGTGGGTACCGACGTTTCGGGAAATATATTGCCCCCATCCTCAACCCTGAAGATTGAAGCAGTATGTTTTTAGGAAAACTTGTCATCCACCTACAAGTCCACACGGCGTCACAACACAGAGACCACAAATTACTCTTTAGTACAGTATTTTTATTATATATGCCTTCACCCCGTGTATGATGCTATTGCATTGGTTTATCTGCGATTAAGTATTCCGACAAATGCATGTTTTCATGGATACGGGTCGGACAGCGAATCCGTTTCGGTTATATTGCTATTGTATGAATGAACCCGAGGGATGGTGTTAGTTGGTGTGGGATAAGTGCTGACAGTTGCCTGGCAATTACAGGGTGCTGTGTTCCGCCACCCCAGGTTTGCCGACACGTCGCTCCAAATCCATCGCCAGTGGCAGAGGCGTCAGCTTGCCACGTTTCCCAGCGTCGCCGCCTCGGACGAGACGGTAAGACTTGTGCCACTCTGACGTAAAGAGAAGGAAGAACGCGTACTCAGGGTGCTGAGGGGAGGCTGGGGAAATTTACTTAATGAGGGGCTCCGTTGATAAAATCAAGGTGAGATGGGCTGTGAGTGTAACGAGGAAAGCTTGAATGTTAGAGACCACTTCATTTGGCTAGCTGAGGACTGTGCTACGTGGAGTCCGTAGTTGTAGGGTAAGAACGCACTCAGGCTGCCAGACATGTAGGTACGAACGCAAACAAGTGTCGTATATGAGACGTACGTTATCAGATTTCCGTGTTAAATCAGTAAATAACTACAATGACAAATTTAAATGGTAATGTAAGCACCAAAACACGTTGCCTGCATAAATAAAATGCTCATAACTGTTGGCTTTGACCGATCTCTTGTCAGACTGTTAGATAGGGCTAATACGTGACCTCACACCCGTGGTAATGTCGTACTCCGGTAATGTGTGGACACGACCCCTGTTGTTTTGGACCGGTAAGCACCGAACTTAAAGTCACCGAAAAGTTTAGTATAAACCAGCGTAATAAACGTATTTGAGGTCCGTTCTATAGTATCGGAGACAGGTGGACAGGACCCTCCAGTTTCCTCGTCTCTTTATATTTTCGATATAAAGAACAAATGGCAAGATTATGAAAATTTCTTTAGGATAAAGTTCTAGTAGCTTTAGGGTAACCCTGTTTCGTTTATTCTGTTTTCGTAATTTAGTTCTCTCTCCCTATCCTTATCATTTCTTTTCTGTTCTGTAGTTTTTCTCTTTCTTCGTATAACTTTTATTTTTATTCCTTCTGTCTTCCTCTTCATTTCTTCTCTTCCTTGTTCTCTTTGGAAGCTACATGCCTCCCCTACAAAACATCTACCCTTATGTGTGTTTATATATATTCCAGAATATAACCTGCAAAGTTCAACGGACCACTCAACGTTTTATTGGCCTATCAATATTATTTCTGCCTGTGACAGTATGCAGAATTTTGTCGTTTTCAATCTCACTGTAAACGGTTAAAATCTTGATTAAATAAGTTATTTGCTACAATTCTATCCTCTTCCTGTGCAGATAATGTGTACACAATCTCTCTTACAGCTGTCTGATAACTTCTGATCCAAACAAACTTCTTATTCTTCTTCTATTTCCGGTTTAACAATGTTTGTACATTTATCAGTACACTTTACGGTTCCCAACTTTCCGTTGGCTTGATCTATGGACATTCGGTAGGACTCCTTGGACGAGGGATCGGCCCATCGCAAGGCCTCTACCTGTACACAGGACAACGCGGACAAACATCCATGGCTTGAGTGGGATTCGAACCCACGGTCCAAGCGGCACAAAGCCCGCGCCTCACCGCGCGGACAATGCAGACCCCACAAACTTCTTATTATAATTATTTAAAATTAAGTATTAGCTTATTTGAAACAATTGAGCTAAGTATTTCTTCTTTGTTGCAGTGCCAAGATCGATTAGATCGACAGGGAAAAAAATAAAATCGATTAATAGATCTTCCATAGTCGTATGTGCGCCATTTTTGCTTCGCTGCACATAGCTGCCTCCTGGCGATAGAAGCCTCGGTTGCGGGACATACAAACGGTTCATTCCAGAATAATTAAAATCCAGAATATTCAGTTGAAATTTTTTAAAAAGTCAACAATTTCAATGACGGTTTCTGCTTATTTTGGCTGTCTGAATGTGGGCAATGAATGAGTTTATTGCGTATACCTTCTTACCGTTAAATATTGTCTTAACCATTTCTTCACTTTGTATCCTGAAGATGCGATCCAGATGAAGCAAGTTTGTCTGAATCGTTGTTGACCTTGTGTTAAATATAGTGTACAAACAAACTAGTTGCACGCGGTTTGTTAGTTGACGTGGCTGCAGAAGTGTGCGGAATTAAAGAGGTGCTTACATTAGCATCTACGTACATTTTGCATTCCGTAACCAATGTGCGAAAGAGTCTGCAGTGCTTGTGTTTCGTCAGGACGAAACTGTTCTTAAAGGTTTAAGGTCTGTTCAGTCATTAAGATGCCTAGACAAAATCGTAATTACAAGATAGATTTAAAGTCGCTAAAAACATTAGGAATTTTAACTTTTAAATTTATGATTTATGTAAGATTTGAGGTTTTCACAGCGGTGAGTATGAAGATTTCTGTCTTCTGGGTTGTTGCGCCTTGTAGTCTGGTCGATGTTTACCAACGTTTCAGAGGTCATACTGCCTCCGTCATCAGGGCGATGAGTATGAATATTTCTGTCTTTTGGGTTGTTGCGCTGTGTAGACTGGTCGGTGTTTACCAACGTTTCAGAGGTCATACTGCCTACAGACCAGACTACACAGCGCAACAACCCAGAGAAATCTTCAAATTTATGATTATTTTAGAAGTACCAGTATTTTACAACATCCACATTAAATCACGTTTAGGTCTGCCCTAAAATAGTAAAATCCAAACATATGTTAGGTTAGGTTCTTATTCAGTACGGCTTCAAACACGGAGATGCTTTAACACCATTGCTTTTGAAGTTTGTTTTAGAATACGCCAGGAGGAATTAGAATTGAACGAAGCAATTTAAGATATGAGTTTAGTTAATTATGTTAATTTGTTGGGTGAAACGTTAGTATACAAATAAAAGACATCTGTTAAATGCTAGTAAGAATGTTAGTGTAGAAGCGAACGCAAAGAAGCAAAGTATTATACATTTAGGTGTCGTCATCAAATTACAGGTCGAAGTCATGATATGAAGACAGTTGACAGATATTTTTTTTAAAAAATGTGACATGTCGAATACACTTGTGAACAAGGAAACAAATCAAAATTGCGTGTACAAAGAAGTTAAAAGCATTTTAAATTCTGGTATTGCTTTGTAAAATACAGTTAAAAATCTATTGTTTTCCCGTCTGTAAACTTAAAAGGTAATGGTTAAAGTTTCAGAAGTTTAATTTTACCCGTTGCTTTGTATGGATGTCATTTTCGATATCTTACATTCAACAAGAGAATGTATGAAAACAGGGTGAAGAGGAGAATGTTTGAACCCGATAAGGATAAAGTGATAGAGAACTTGACATAATTGCATAATGAGAGGGTTCTTAACTTCGCTAAATATTAAGAACAATAGGCGATGTAGTACTCATAAGAGATATGAGAAATAGCTAAAAGAATTTATCCAGACAACCCGAAATAAAGAAATCACTTGGAAGACCTGGGCGTAGATGGGAGAATGATATTAAAAATAATCTTACAGAAATAGAATGGGACGGCGCAGCGGAATGTGTATTGGAAATATGATTTCGATTATTCGCTGTTTTCCTATTATTAGACTATGTCTAGTAGCAAAAACTGGTATCTTCTCCTGTGCTCGTCTTACTGATATTTCTTGTAGTCATGGCAGGAACTCAATGCCATTTCACTTAGTATCAACACCCACAGATTATGACGTACGCATCAGCAGACCCGTCCTACACAATGCTAATTAGCTACAGGATTTGAATAATCAAGTGGCTGTTCGGTGCATTGTTGTTGCTGTGGGTGTAACTCAGTTTGACATTGCGGAAATGCTATATAGTCGTGTCAAGGGTCAGTTATTTGACCTACGCCGAAATTTTATGAGTGCCATGCTGCTGATTTATACAAATGTTTTGCGAAGTTAAAAGCATTTCGTGGTTAAACTTTCCCTGTTAGATATTCACCATGTTTAAAAATGTTTTAAAATGTCCTGTTAAGTTAATTATTCCGTATTTGAAGGACTAGACAAACTGCTATTTGAGATCAATGCGACGTATGTTTTTATTGGACCGATAAGACTCTAAATTATTACGAGAACGTTGATTGTAGATCGTCAATATCAAATTCATTCCGTTCACTGCTTTTGAAGATACCATCTTGCGAGTATATAGGCATGACCTTCACATCCTCCATTAATTTCATGCGCGGTGTGTCAGCGTATAATTAATAAAACCGTAACAAATTATCTCCTAGTGCAATTACAGCGAGTTACGTAAAGTGAACATTGCGTAATAGGGAAATGTTAGATATAGTACTAACTACTGGCGCTTGGGGCGCTATGGTTGTGTGATGTGCCTCCATCTCGCGAAGGGGGAGAAAACTAATTTTAGTTGTATTTTCAGCACGTTATTGGTTTCTTATCTATACCTATATAAACCACATGATATCTCAAGACCGTGCCGACTTAGGAAAGCACATTTTTGTTAAGGCAACGTTTACCATCCAGAAATGCGTGGTTTTAGACGATGATCATATTGAAGGAGACTGAGACACGAAGCTTCTAGTTTTGTCACCTAATGAAACGTGATCATATGTGACAACTAACCGTAGCTGGAAAAATAAATATGAAATTGATCTTATTATAGTGTCCATCGATATGATCGCGGTAATGGACCTTCGAATTCTATAAAAGCAGAGAAATTCTTAATCAGCTTATGATCTATCAAATGCTGAAGAAGAGTTAGTTTTATCCATTTCGTTTGGAGTCGAAACTTTCACTGGACGTAAGTCACTACGCTATGTCATTCGGATATACATAAAATATTACCTCAATAGGCACTTCGTCATTGGCTTCATAAATTAATTAATAGGTCTATTCGAAAATTCTTAATAATTAACTCCATTCAGATACGTGATTCTTGTGAATCAAAATAGTCACTGAGCTAGTCGATGAATTCCTTGCATTTTGTGGACCGTGTTGTTAAATTTCCGCTTTTATAATAATTTGTCTTTCGTCCATATCCTGAGCCATTTTGATCCAGCGGGTTGCAGTTATGCTTTGCTCCACCCCACTCCCGTGGGGCTGTTTGTTAACCCGACAACGTGTCAGTTAAGCTTCCCGGAGGAATTATTGGGGAAGGGGTGAAGAAGACATGGTCACGTGTGTATAACCTACTGAACGAAGCGACGGTGTTGCCACATCGAAACAAAAAATAAATGTATGTAGGTCTACTCACTTCTCACCCTTGGATCGATGTTTCAAACAAACCCAGT